ACGGATTTCCCCCAATCAGATTCCATTGAAATCTACAGATCAGCCAGAATACAAAAGTTTGTACTATCTTTTAATATAGCATGAGAAAATCAACAAAACGTCCACACAAAATTATCGCTCACTCATTAGTAAAATATATGGCAGGCATGGCTTGGCCACGCGCTCGCCCCGATGTTTTGCACCCCCGGCAATATGGCGGAATAAACCTTGAAAGGGCCTATTGCAAATACGTTTGTTAAATATAAATATGCTTTTATATAAAGCATATGGAGTGTTTCTATCTGATTGACCCTCATGCACGTAATTGTTTTGGGATGCCTGATCCTAATGGCATATGTTTTGAAGCTTGATCTAAACCCAAGGCACCATATGTGTGTTCACGATGTTCTCGGGATAAGAATGAAATGAAAGATTTAACTCAGATTGAGGAATTGTTAATTGCGTGTGCTTTGTGAATCATGAATGGAAGTCAACGAGGTTATACTCAGGGCATGTGGCTAATATAAGCATTTAAATTCCAAGTGCATACAATGTTGACATTCCCTGTTATTTACAGACATTCTTGTTTTACAGGTCTACAGGTCTTGGAGTACAGGTCTTGTACTCCTTTAGACTTGGTTCAAGTCCGTCTCAGGAGAAAAGTAGGGAGAGACGGAATTGGGATATTTGTAGCATTTTGAATGTTACTTGCAAAAATTAGTGAGAAAATTTGTTGTTGCTCTCAACTCACAAGCCAGGCCTCCGTAGGGAAAAACCGACGGTAAAATTTGGCGCGCTTGCAGGGTAAATCCAATTCCATCTCTCCCTACTTTTCTGAGTTTTCTCTCATATTTTTGCGCCTTATTAATTGAAGTGATTTTACATATCCGTGTCACTGTAAATTAAGTTGTTTCCTCGCTAACATGTGCCATTCGAGGCAGCAATTTCCTTGCGACAGTAACTTCTAGTAAATTAATACATTCCAAAATTAATCATCAAACAGTGTTCCGTCCATTGCTGGTGTCACAGCGGGAGTTTGGATAATTGTCGAGGGTCACAGGTCGAGGGTCTGTAAAAGTCGAGGTCGAGCGTCAAGGGTCGAAAGTCGAAAATACTAAATTTTTATCTATTTTAAAAGTTTCACAACCGCTTTGAAAGCTTCCATTAAACACGGCAAAACAATTAGTTTTGCTGTCAAAACAGAAAAATTTCACCTATGGCTATGCATAACTGAAAGTTTCGTCTGATGCGATGTTTGAAAGTATACATCTTTTATTTTAGATGTAGTTTAATCCATATACCCACATGGGCGATGATACAAAATGGCGTTCAGTTTGCTCTCATGAGAAATTTGATTATAAGTAATATGATTTTTGCCTGTGTTGGTGTTATGTACTCAAGTGAATATAATGTTTGTGACATTCATCTGAGTGTGTAGTATGTGTACCCACAGCGGGCAAGCTTTAAAAATATACCTGGCCACCGTGGTCAGGCATATTTTTCAAGCTTGCCCGGTGTGGGTACACACTGAGAGTGGTCACAAACATTATAAGTAGGCCTAATATGTTATCTGTTGGCGGCGACAGAGTTCTGAAATTGCTCAGAAATTCAATTTAACGATATTCCTCATACCGCTTATGGTTTTGGAGGTTTAATTAAAGGCTTAAAGCCTTTGGGTGTGTGGGAAACGATGTCATAAAATATATAGAACTATTAACAGCACGTGTTCACATGTCTTCACCGGAAGCGCACATTTTCGATTGGCAGTTTCATATTCACAGTATAGTTGCGAGAACCTTGTGGTATATAATAAAATGGAGACTTGAGTTGTACTGTCGAAAATTACTTGCACGAAGCACGGATGATTTTAGTTCGGTTCAGAATTATCTCACGACCATAGTGAGAGCTTTCTGCTGTGCTGGGATTCCAACGATTCATTCAGATACAGGTAGTACAATAAAATACAATATTTTTTCGAATGGAAAAAAGGAACCTAATTATGCCCTAAGGCATTGTCCTTTACTAACATTCATAAAGTTAGTTATCTGGGAAAACCTTTAAAATTTTGACAACAAATTCGAAAAATATAGTATTCTAATGTATTATTATCATTAATTATAAATAATTATAAAATAATTAATAATTAATTATAACTAAATTTCCATTTTCAACCCTTGACTTGCGACCCTTGACCTCGACTTTCGATCCTGGACTTTCGACCTTCGAGCTATGACAATACCCAAACTCTCACAGCGGATACTGTCTCACCTGCAGAGAGATCCCCAGCTGGGCACTATCCGCGTGTATTGTGTCTCCCCAAGGAGAATATCATAGGTAGCCCAGACATACCGTGCGACTTAAATTTCAATGCTTGGCAAACTTAAGGCCGGTTTACACGACCAGTGTTTTGGGCACGGCACCCCTAAAAATGGGCACCCGTGCCCAAAATTTTAGGCACCGCACCTCTGCCTTTTGGCGTGTAAACGTGACAATAATCGGCACCGGTGCCGCAAAATTTAAACGTGCCGAGACTTTCTCACGAGGTAGTCTCGGCACGTCTAGCAAGGGGTGCCGTGCCCAAATTTCGAAAAAAATAAAAAATGTGTTCGACATCGAGCATGCGCAAAACAAATTGTCTTCTTTCCAACATGGCTGCAGCAAGCGGCGAAAAACTACAACTTGCCAAAAATAAAAAAAAAAGGTTAAAACTCTTTTGCATCACAACCCAGTCTCATCGATCTCGAGGGATCGACGGCTTCGAAATTTCATACCTTCAGTTTAGTGCGTGCTATGAAGACAGAAATACCACCATTCGATTCAGAAATAAAAGATCAACTAGTTCCAAACGATAGTTATAGCCATTATTAACATTGTAGCGATTTATCGGCCTTTGAAAGTCCAACACGATCATATTGTATCAAATTACGCAATTGTCTGAACAAAAATATAGACTAGCCATACCTTTCGCCGAAAGTAACTTCGGCCCCTTCGAACATATCGTCTTTGTAATAGGCTTGTTAGAATTCCCATTAAAAACACTATTTAGAGTGTTATTTGCAAGCCTGTATCTTCAAATCTGTATCTTTTATCAATATATTTCCATTTCTTGTCCGACTGTGAGCTCGAAGTGAGTTAATCCCAACCGGAAATACGACTGAAACTGTCAAAACAATGCGACGCTTATATCGTATGACCCTGGAAAGGCCAGAAATGGATTCGCAAGGTCAAATTGCACCTACACGCGTGAGTTTGACGTCATCCCGGCTACAGGAGCTTCTTATTGGCCAATTATTGCGCAATGTACTCAAGTGCGAGTAAAACCCGATATCTTGAAAAATTCAAAATAAATATTTCTAGTCGGCGTATACATACGAAACTTTCTACACGAAAGCGCTTGAATACAAAGAGTATTTTACACATATAGCCGTTCAGCAAATGTCGAAAAGTTCAAGGGGTATTCAAGATGTTGTGTATATGAAATTTAGAATCTTTGGCCAAGCGGTGAGTAAATATATGATTGTTTCGGTTTGTGTAATGTTCAGACGGCACTTGACCCCCCGTTCGAAAGGTTATTTTGTGAGGATTTCAATGGTGGGTTTTATTTAAAAGGGGGGTCAATACTCGCCGAGATATTTATACTAGAACGATTGGGTCGTAATATGATGCGAATGCGTGTGACCGAAAAGAGTTAAAAACATTTAAATAACACAGAATGTGAATGTTGCTCTAGTTGACTCGGAAATGTTGATACCACTAGCTGTTCGTCGCTGAAGAGAGCAGTAACTAGGTCGTAGCGTGCATGGCGGGTGAATACAAGATGGCACAACATTTATGCGAGAAAACAACTCCTTTCGTCTTAAAGGACCTGTTCATATGGGCAAAGGTTATTTCGGTTAACGAGAAAACTTTTCGACTAGCCAAATATACTTTTGTTCTGTTCACATGCATGGAGAAATGTTATTCCGCTTACCGGGTAAAGTTTCCGGCATGACATAGCACTGAATATCAATTGAATTGTAAAGTCAGTACTGACACGACAGAAAGCTATCCTGCCAAGCGGGAACTAGAGTTGTGTTCATATGGGAAAAACATTATCACTTGACAAGCGAGATCTCGGTACGTACACGGGAAAACGTTTTGTCTTATATGAACGCAGTGTAAACAAACTTTTCATATTATTTTCATACCAAGGCGAGATCTCGCTTGTAAACTTTTCGAAAAGTTTTTTCACTAACCAGGATAACTTTTGCCCATATGAACTGGCCCTTGAAGTACGTTCCTAGTATTGAATTGGTTTTTCCCTCGATTTTCGGCTCATATAATATTCTTCTTCGTTCCAATAAATATAAATATATAATTCTATTTCTGGCCGGCATATTTATTCTTTAAAATATACCGTCGTAAACGGAAAGTAGAGGTGCCGTTTTCCGATGGGCACGGTGCCTATCATAAAAGTGTGTTTACAAAATGTTGTCGTGTAAACGAGTAAATAGCGAAGTGGCGGTTTTGGCACGGTGCCCATTTTCAGGGGTGCCGTGCCCAAAACGCTTGTCGTGTAAACCGGCCTTTAATTACCCCCTGCGGTATCGGTTTCAAAATAATAATGTTAACGATTAGCTCAACAATATTCTGAATTTCTACACTAAAATGTATCACTAGCTAATCAATACTTATCGTTGAAGGAAATATATACTTAGGAACATAGCATGCATCAGCAAAAATAAATAGTTTATACCTTTAGTCGGTAAGCACTGATGCATGCTAAGTACCTAAGTATATTTCCTTCAACGATAAGTATTGATTAGTGATACATTTTAGTGTAAAAATTCAGAATATTTTTGAGCTAATCGTTAACATTATTATTTTGAAATCGATACCGCAGGGAGTAATTAAGTATGCCAAGCATTTAAATTTAAATCGCACAGTGTGTCTGGGCTACCTATGAGAATATCAGCCATGCATGCACGTTTCATTATTTCTTTAATTAAAAATATATTATTCAAGTATAACGAATTGTTATTCCACTCTCTAAATTTTGAGATTCTCTAAACTCGGTCACAATCGAGATGACATAATCGACTGAATGTTTTACAGTTTACATCTGCAACGGAAATTTTTGCTTGAGCGTGACACGTTGTACCAGATGTGACATGATGGCAGCGTTTCCCAATTCTATCATACGAAGTACGTTTGCGTACATCCACGAATACCAACTCTCGACGTATATATCGCTTTCCCACCGCTTAAGGTTTCCAGACACAATACAGCCCCAGATCACAAAGCATATGATGCATATACACGATATCGAGACAGTAACGATGTTTTCTTCAGTTGTACCTTTCCTTTCATTCATGTCATTGGCTGCCGTTTCACAGCTTGTCGTATTAATGATTCCTACTGTCAGGCCATTCGATTTTTCAATATCGTTAGAAGAATTGCTGTAGAAAGTCTTCGCGTAAGTAATGAAGGCGCACAGTGCACACAGAATAGAGCATGATGGTAGTATGAGTTTGACGTATAAACTTACATGTTGATTATAAGTTGTCCCTGCGATTCCTGCTAGGATAAATATATAGCATTGCACTATCAGAATATTGAACACACGCCGTACACGATGTTTAAGATATTCGAGCCAAGGGTAGATCATGCGAGTATACGCAGCTATTAAACATGGAAAACCTATGTTCAAAAGAAATTCGTCCAACGCAAAAACTGTTAGGATTGCTTCGTCGTTTATGTATCCATGTAAAAGCAGCGCCAATGCTCGACTTAAGGTGAAAAAAACAAGGACAGCATTTATTGCGTAGCTGATGCGAGATTTAGTGAAGAGTGGCGTTGTATTAGTAGCACGAATCATGGCACGAAGACACGAACATGTCAGAAGTAAGAATGCTGTTCCAAAAAACACACGATGCACTTCGTAAGCCAAATGCCATTTTCCCTTCATTTTACCGTAGTCGCAGTTCAGATCAGCTGGAGTTTACGATACTGAGGGATGAATATTTAACTCGTAACTATATATTTAACTCCAACAGTTTATTGGAATATATTATTAATTGAAGTGTGACTCATTTGAATTTTGGGACAATATGCCTACGTACACTATTGGCGTTGGTAAACACGCAATCTTGTTTGTTAAGCTTAATTACGTATATTTTCATTTAAATTAATATTCAAACATTCCATGGAGTGTGTTATGTCTTCAAAAATACAGATACTAATGAATATAAACAGATTCTTCACCGATAAACCTGTTGAATATGATTGGCAGCTAGGGCCCTTGCGGCGTGATAGTGTCGCGTGCATGAATTAAGTGCATGCCATTGTCCAATACTGTAGAATCATAACCAGTTGGAGATATGTTCACATGTTGACATGCATATAATTAGGAACGATGCACTCCGAGAAGCCAAATCCCATTCTTCATTCATTTTACCGTAGTCGAGGTTCAAGTCAAATGGTGGTTTAGGATGCTCGAAACTGAAACATGATTACTTATTAACTTAACTCGTATTTTTTACATAGACAGTTCATTGAAATATATTTAATAATTGAACTGTGCCTGGTTTACAATTTGAACAATTTGAAACAATATAATTATACGTCGTCGTTCTGACCTGACTGATCTTAGTTTGTCTCATATTATTATCTTATGTAAGGCGGTTGCTGTTTAAAAATCCTGGGAATTTATACCAGAATGATATTCCTAGACCTAGTATCCTGTCTCGGTTCCTTTTATTTTAAACTTTTTAAATGCACTGTATCTGAATGTTTTTTCACGTTCGGTCTCCTTGTTACGAGTTCAACTGTTGACTAAAGCCTGGTCACTATCTTTCTCATCAGCCGAAAGACAACACCTTAGAACTAAACTGAAATACGCCGAGTGATTATAACTAGAGAATACTTATGATTTAAATTATGTGATTTACAGGTATAAATTATTATAAACTGGTCATTGACCATATGGAAAGCGTGGACCCCAGACGAGGATGAGAGTGCATTAGAGTTAGCAGTTACGCGATCTTGGTCACCTGTCTCTTAATACTTTCGAATTTCCAACACAACATATAATCTATTTAAGTTAAAAAATAGGTGGAGCCCGCATCAAATTTCTGTGAAAGTAGACCTTGAAATGTCCCCGGTAACAATTCGTGATTGCCAATACAGCCTTCCGGAAAGTACGTCACTTTGGCTTTAAAGCCTCGATTTCGTGTATCTGACATCAGTTAAAGGCCACGTCTCAATCACGAAAACGAGGCTCTATAGCCAAGGTGACCTACTTTACGGAAGCGTGTATTCTCATTAACTCTCATTCGTGTTTGACCGTGGCTAATAAAAATCATAAAGCCATATGTATAAATTGTGTGGCGTCATGATCTTTTGAAGTCTTTGAAATCTTAATTAATTTAGCAAGCAGAACAACAAATCTACATGGTTTCATAAATTTATTCATATACCTGCACATTTTGAACTTCGGGTGCTTATCTTGTTATATATCGTGACAAAATTTATATCACATAAGGATGTTTTGCTATGTATAGGTGTTCTTCCTCCGCCCCAAAGAAAAAATTTGGTGGGGGTGTTAAATAGATAAATATAGCGAAAAAACGAGAATAACTATTACACTTATAAACCTGAAATGTTGTTTCATTTTACAGAGAATGCAATTGCCGCATAATTTATTCAAAGATCAACAAAATGTTATCTGATACATTTTGGTTAAAATAACTTAAACGGAATCATGGCTTAAATGGGGCCGAAAAAATACCGGCAGGAGGGGCATAAGGAATTTTACCCTGCGCTAGTTCGAGTAAAGTTTGTTTATTATGTGAAAATGTATTTGTACTCCCCCACTGTCCATGCATAATAGTACAATGAACTTTTAAGGGGGTTATGCTTGCCCGGAAATTTTTTAAAATCCTAGTGTCGGTAAAGTGCCGTTTTCAGCATTTTGGGGGCTATTTTAATGCGTTTTGACGATTTTAATAAAGAACAATGCATTTAAGACATAATTTAGGAAGATGTGAAATTCACAAGAAATGAAAATATAATGCGCATGCTTAAACTGGTCAGAATTTTTCCAAGGGGGACCAATATTTTGTCAGGCCAGGCCCTCCCCCCACGCCATATATATGTCTACGTCACTGCTCTCTTGAAAAATATCTTGTATGTTTGCGAACACCCTCTTCAAGATAATAAGTCTGGTTTAGAAATATGAGAAACGATATAGGTTCTAAGTTCTTTGAATATTTGCATGGCGATAAAATATAATTGTTTTTGTTTGTGGAAACACCACGTAAATTATTAGCACATATTATTAGCACTGATGAAGATCCGGGCTTACGGATCGAAAGCTTTGCAGTAATAAATTTACGTGGTGTTTCCACAAACAAAAACAATTATGATATGGGTTCTGTGTGGTCTAATGAAATAAGGACGGCGAAAAGCGCACTTTAATTTTGGACCGTTTTGAAAATTAAAGTTTTTAGTCCTGGTTTCAGTGCACCCTGTAAGGAAAAAGTCAATATATCTTTAATGTGGGGATCCAGTGCGGCAAATTATTCTTAAAGTTAGTAAAACCAGCTTTTGCTGATGGGGCTAGCGTCTTCAAGTAACGTTTTCATCCTCGTTTGTTTCTAAAATTTTAGATAGTTGAGCGCCAAGTTACTGTAGTTGGCTAAACCTTATAACCGTAATTAGAGGTTGAAAAAAGGACAAGTAATTTTTTCTCCCAGGGTGGAGTGCATGGAAATAGGAATCAGCAATTTGGGATCATTGAAAACTAATGCCGAAATTTGCTTTTTTGCAGTTTATGGTTTTGTTCAAACGAGCTTTGCAATCCCTGATCAGAGACAGATTGTTCACTCACCTTCGCGTGGTCTCAATAACCGCAGTCGGATTTCTCATTGGTTTATTATACCTTGGTATTGGTAACGATGGTAACAAGGTTTTCAACAATACAGGATGTTTGTTCTTTTCTCTGTTGTTCTTGATGTTCACTGCACTCATGCCCACAGTTCTCACATGTGAGTACAACCAGTTAAGATGTATGTAATAAGGAACTTAACTAAACATGTACGATAGTAATGCGAGGAAAAATCTTATAAAACTGACCATGTTGAAAATATTGCCTTGTATTAACCATCGATCCTATGTATGTGCCAGACGGTCATATGTCTAGACCTTATATCATTTATTGGTGGTTTTCAGAGGAAAATTGAGGAAAATTGTGTCAAGTACTATTGTAATTTATTGTAAACAGAGACTGGAAGGCTGCCTCAAAACCTCCCGTAGAACTGAATATTTATAAATTTCTCGTTCGTGCGTATGTTATTAATATTATATTTCGTGAACATTATTTTGTACAATGTCATACAGTTATTCAATGTCACCGTGGCTCCTGCCTATTTAAATTTTCCTACACTACTTTCTTCCTTCTTTTTAATACAATACGGAAGCAAGTAAAAGAGAACTTATATATTAATTTTCAGTTCCCACAGAAAAGCTAGTATTTATCAGAAAACATTTGAACAACTGGTACAGTTTAAAGTCGTATTACTTAGCGAAGACAATGGCTGATCTACCATTTCAGGTATAATATTACAAGCTGCCCCAAAACTATATCCCTTTACGCCCACTTTTTAGCATTACTACGTAACTTGTAATAAAAAGTTTCAAGTATTTCTAATAAATTTAATTAATAACTACCATCCATATCATATTTTGAAAGATTTTCTGTGCATGTCAAAATGTTCACCTTATAATCTCTTTATGAGAGTTGGTCAGTTTGAGCTGTCTATCAAATACCACAGGTTTCCTTCGGGTACAAAGTTCGTACTAAGCTGATGGCCCTTATACTGGGTTTCCAGGACGGAGCATTTTAAACATAACTAACAAGAGCTGTCCACTATGAACTGATAGTTTGTTGATAATAAACTGTAATTTCTTAGTTTACTAAACTCATTAATGCATGGAGATATTGAACTATTCAACTCCAAACATAAATGCCCGATTTTATATTTTCTTTTTCTCTTTCAGATAATATTTCCGGTTATCTACTGTCCTATTGTATACTTCATGACTGAACAGCCATACGATGGGATACGATACTGGCAGTTTTTGACCATTACTATACTCACATGTCTCGTTGCGCAATCAATTGGTCTGTTGATTGGAGCTGTTGCACCGAGTTTGTCGGTGCGTATTAATTACTAACTACATTGATTGTCTGTGTTACTGTAGTTACTGGTTTGCAGAACGAACGATTCACATAGTTTATTTATATGGTACAAAATTGACTGTTTCCGCAAACAGCCTGCGAACACATGTCGTTAGTTGTACTGAAGACTTCTATATACTGTAGTTATACTGTATGCAACGCGTTGCAATGTTGTTGCAATCTAGTTTGCAAGATATCGTTAAAGAGCATTGTATTCGTAACATTACATCTTGTGACGACACAGGAGCCATATTGTTTAATTGGCTAGAGAAAGATATAAAACGCCCTTTAATAAGAGAAAGATATAAAAGCCCTTTATACTTTATATATGGATTTAAATTTAAGAGCTCAACGATCTTGTTCTTTATTTCGTTTTATATCTAGACCGCCGTTTTCGTTGCCCCGATAACGGGTATTCCAGTCCTACTATTCAGTGGATTTTTTGTGAACTTTGAGACAATCCCAAACTACATGCAATGGCTGACGTACGTCTCTTATGCAAGGTACAGTTGGGAAGGTATCATTGTCGTCATTTATGGTAACAATCGCGCTCCCCTTGACTGTGACGTAGGACGATGTATATTTCGCAATTGTTCGGATGTTCTGTCGACAATGGACGTAAAAGAGGACGCATTGGAGCTGAAAGGAGCCAAAGTCTACCTCAATTGTGTAGTCTTGGCGGGATTTTTCCTAGTACTTCGTTTGGTAACGTATTTAGTGCTACGGTTTAGATTATGGTCCCACAGGTGAGGCTATATTGATATATTATAAGCATTATATATGCCTAAACTACTGTGAAAGATGTATCCTGAAGTAAATATAATTAACATTATATTGGGTTTTTAATTTAATCACTGGGGGTTAGTTCGTAAGATACAAGACTGGTGTACACTATCAAACGAGTTTCATAAAAGTCTGTGCAAGTGTAAATCTACTTTACAAAGTATTAAAGTCACTCTTAATTGTTACCGAGTTTGTAATCCCTTGTACACAGGTTTTAATTGCAAATAGAAACTGACGAAAGCTTTCTCAACAACGTTTTATTCCGTGATATGACGCCACTTTAAAAGGACTTTCATTGATAGTGTAAATCAGCCTGTATATAGGCTACCACTCGTAAGACTACGGTCAGCCGTGCAGATCGTCTTCGAAAAACGTCGCATTAACAGAAAGACATTTTCCTTTGTAACTCGCAATTGAAAGTAATTAAGTAACTTGTTTTATTTGCTTAGCTCGCGCCATGGAGCTTTGTCTAGTTTACCGAGCAAGTGACAGGGGCCGGAAAGCAATTTTATGGTTGGAGTTGGTGGTGGTGGGACTTTGTATTTCATTCCAAAATAGGCAAGATAAGGAAACTTAATAAGTAAAAAAGTGAAAGTAACAAAAAATATTGTTGATAAGCACACCCCATTGATTTCTATTCACATTTTGTTGGTCTTAATTAAATGTTTGAGCGTAATTGTCATGCAGTTGGCCATCTAAAGATAACCTTCGATGTAGCCAGAATGCAACCTTGGTATTCACTTCATATTTTACACTCCCTTACCACTTTACACGCCTTTCTCGTGAAAATTAGCTCCACAACAACCGGTTCCGCAGTCCCCAAATGAAATGCGTTATGTTTAATTTTCTGTTGTCAACAAACTTTTAGCAACTTGCAAATAGGCATGTAAAGAAAATGTGGGAATACAAACGGTTCTTGACTTCGACTTGGAGCTTTCATTATAGCCAATTATTTCACGATATCCAATTTTTCACGGCTTTAACGCCACAAACTCAGTTTAGTTGCGTGCCGGTGTTACAATCAATTTAGACAATGCCCGTTGATCGCAGTCTTATGATCCGCAGCCATTTGTCCAGACCATATTATCACCAAACCGCGCTTTTAAATCATGCACTTCATGATATAGCTAGTTAATATTATTTTCATAGTTATACATTATAGTAAATGTTCTATGCATTGTTGTAATAAATGTTATATGATATCAGTGGCCAACCTGGATGTTATGTGTGGAACTACAGTACTTGTCACTTTCTTGTACGTTGGGTTCTAATTACGTCGATCACGTGCATCACACGATGATAAATAGCGGCCACAAATCCAGAGCTAAGATGACCTGCCTCATCTTAACAGAACATTGTAGTTGCTGGCGTGGACTGAATATTATTATAAGTAATAGCATAAAAAGAAGCGAATTAGCTATTAAAACGTCCCGCTCGATGAGGGTTAATTCCCTTGGGCGCCGCTCGATGAGGGTCATTTAGTAAAATTTACTAAATGACCCGAATCGAGCGGCGCCCAAGGAAATTTTACTAAACGACCCTCATCGGGCGGGACGTTTCAATAGCTAATTCGCTTCTTTTTATGCTATTACCTTATAATATCATGATTGCGGGTATTCCCGTTGGCGTTGTTCTCGCATTAAAAACCAATTAACAATAAATAATGGTATAAATTAAATGGTATAATTGTTTTCCCTGTCTTTGTTTAGTTTTGGCGATTTCAGATATCTTCATTTATATTCATTTTTTCTAATCGTACCCGATTTGACGTCGTTTCGGGTAGGATTAGAACTAATTCTACCTGACATGACGTAAAAGCGGGTAGGATTAGAAAATATGAATGTAATGAGGTGTATTAGTTTTTAATTGCCCTGCGAGAACAAAGGGAATACCCGCAATCATGATATTATATCTGTAGTAGCTAAAGTGTTTGAAAAGCTTATCTCCAGGCAATTCAATGGGTATTTGGAGTCTAACCACTTGCTGTCGGACAGTCAAACTGGCTTTTGGAAAAAGAGTTCGACTACAACTTCCCTTTTGAATAATACGAACAAATGGTACATCAATATGGATAATGGTCTTTTAAACGGAATTATTTTTCTCGATCTAAAAAAAGCTTTCGACTGTGTCGACCATGATATTTTGATAAAAAAAATTGTCTTACTTTGGCTGTAAAGGAACCACTTTAAATTGGTTTAAATCATATTTAACGAATAGAAAACAAATGTGTAAAGTAAATCAAGTGACATCCCAACCTCGAATAATTCGTTGTGGTGTATCACAAGGTTTAAATTTAGGCCCAATATTGTTTCTTATTTATATAAACGACTTGCCTAATTGTTTAAGAACGACTACAGCCAGTTTGTTTGCAGACGATACTAATCTGACAGCAAGCGGGTGCTCGATTATAGACATCCAAACAAAATTAAACAATGATTTGGAAAATATACATCACTGGTTATTGGCCAATAAATTAACTCTCAATAAGGACAAAACTGAATATATGATAGCCGGGTCTAAGCAACGGATTAGCAAAATTGAAGGTGATCCAGAAGTTAAATTAGGAAATTGTAATATAAAAAGAGTGAAAGAAACAAAAACTTTAGGTGTCATTATTGATGATCAGCTAAAATGGAATGCACATATAGATAATGTCGTTACCAAGGTATCAAAGGCCATAGGCATGATTCGACGAATGAAAAATTTTGTACCCCAGTCAACATTAATTTCAGTTTATAATGCAATAGTACAACCTCACTTTGACTACTGTAGCCTTGTTTGCATTGGTAATGTTTACTCGCTTGAAAAGCTGCAGAAAATGCAAAACAGGGCTGCAAGAGTCATTACTGGTAGGTCGTACGAAGTTAGGTCCGAGACTATTTTACAGGACTTAGGCTGGCAGCCACTGATAGAAAATTGGAGAGAGAATAAGGCAGTTTTTATGTACAAAGCCAAAAATGGCAAATACCTGACAACAATTACTGATACCTTTAATGTGAAAAATAATGAAAATTATAATTTACGCAATAACGATTGTGACTTTTCGATAAAAAAGCCTAAAACTAATTTTCTTAAAAAAAGTATCTGCTACGCAGGAGTAAAGATTTGGAATGAACTGCCAACAGAATTTAAAGATAATGGTATAACATTAACAAGATTTAAAGCGCTGCTCCGAGACAGACAAACGTAGATTGTTAAAGTTTTTAATGTTTAGGGGTGGGAGGACTGAGTGAAGAAAGGGGGGGGGGATAATTCGTGTGCTATATTTATATAAATATATATATATATATATATATATATATATATATATATATATATATATATATATATATATATATATATATATATATATATATAATTGGATTTTACTCAACTTACCTCGAAACATGTAACTCTATGACAGCTCTCGGAAAAAGGACTCAAACTCTCAAAGGAGTTCGGGAAGCATCGATAAAAAAGAACCGCACCCTCCACTTCTAATAATAAATTTGCATACTTAAATACCTCCGGTTTGAAAATCCGGACATCCATTTGAAAATGCAAGTCGAGATTTGGAACGGCTTTACATAACTCGGCCAAAGACACTGGGCACGAGTGAATGTGAAGAGCTTCATGTTACGTCAAGAATAGTGTGCTGTTCGCCTGAGGGCAAGCAGCAATGATAATAATGGAAACTTTAATAATTTTGTTACATACTATATATATACAATTGTAAATCTCACTAATTTAAGGTAACTTGCAATTGGCTATTTGAATCACAACTATATGAACTAATAAAAATGATAAGACAGAATACATGAAAATATATAAATATACAAGACAATCAGATATTTCAAATAGTTAACAAGTCCGGACTTTCCCATTCCTTATTTCGGCAGCAAAAAATATAGTATGTACTTCGAATGGCAATAGTCATCATTTTCCTAACACAGTACGTTTGGTAGTTTTTGTCCAGACCAACATTTCCTAACATTTCTAAGAATGTAGAGCATTCTTGCGCAAAAATACCTAGGGGGCTCATAGAAAGATTTATAAAGTTTACTTCGTTAAAATTTTCGTCTAGTTGTTTTACTAGTTCTTTATATTTGGCTTTTTTCCGATTAACGTTGTTCTCGAGGTTTGTCTCATAGCCAACAGTGAGCTCAACCACATAAAGAGAGCCATTTGATAACGATAGCAACAAATCCGGGCGATACGTATCACCAGTTATTATTGAAGGACTTTTGAATCCAGGCACATCAGCGTAGAGGGCAGAACCGTTCACAGTTTGCAAGGTATTGGCAAGGAAGTTCAGGATTGAATTGTGTCTCCACGTAAATCGATCGAGATAACACTGACATCCAGCGACCACGTGCAATAATGATTCTGGGCCAAGACAAAAGGAGCATTCTGAACTTGAAGACAATCCCCATCTGCTAAGGTTCTTGCGTGTCGGAAGAGAGTTATTGATATAGCGTACGGTAAAGTTATAAATGTTTTTTGGAAGTTTTGATTGAGCAGTAGACCACACTTTGCTAAGATGCGACAAGGAGAACTTTGTTATTATTATTATTATTATTGTTATAATAATAATAATAATAATAATAATAATAATAATAATAATAATAATAATAATAATAATAATAATAATAATAATAATAATAATAATAATGGAAACTTTATTAAATGTTTTTCTTTACATACATATACAATCGTAAATCTCTCTCATAAAGGTAACTTACGGTTGGCTATTTGAATCACAATTATACTAAACTAAAATAACACAACAAGGTGCATGCAATATATATAGATATATATATATATATATATATATATATATATATATATATATATATATATATATATATATATATATATATATATATATATATATATATATATATATATATATATATATATATATATATATATATATATATATATTTATATATATAATTTCCATACCCAGCGCAAGCAGAAAGATGTTGTCTGCCGCGGCTGCGGGGTGTTTGTAAAAGCCGGAACCCCACCCGGAACACCCGGAACCCCTCCCGGAACCCTACCCGGAACACCTGGAACCCTACCCGGAACCCCACCCGGAACACGCTGGAATACGAGCTATGAAGCAACGCACGTGTTTCTCTATAAATTCACGTGTTTCGCATTAAATTCGGGGTGATAGATGGTTACGATCTTTACTTTTTACTTGTATTGATGTTTTTTTAAATAATTTTTCTCATGGGCAAGGATAAATATATTATGTCGGGTGGTACAGAATATCAAATGCATGAGTATTGCTTGTTTGTAAACGTGCAAACGAAGTTTTGCTCGAGGCTTTTGCCGCATGTACTATATTTCAGTTTCGTTTTCAATATTCTGCCGTACTATGTACCTGTGACTCTATTCTAAATTTAGTTGAACAATAACCAATATTTAACTTTGCTATCTTTTTTATTATTTGAATAATATGTTTGCATATGGTTATTTGACTTGCAATTGTATGAAACGGCGCCATGTAAGGAATTATAAAGTTCATCCGTATTTATTATATACAATACGAATTCTCGTGGATTTGTGGGAAATTTTTCATGGATTTCTTTACTAGACTTACTCGCTTTTTGGAACTTTGAAAGACGTTTTAGTAATTTAGAGGCTGTTTTGTATATGACAATGACTGCAGCCTATATTAAAAGTGCACGAGCGACATCTTAGAATAACTATTATTAAGTAGCTAATAAATTATATGTATTGCTAGAAATTCCCAAAACATTCATTTGTCATTGAAAACGTTGACAACCAAATCAACAAGCTGGTGTCGTATATATAAAGCACTAGCCACTAGGCAAAACGTTCATGTTATAACTTCAACAGTAACACAGTCCTTAATTTAATATATTAAATACAATATTTATTTACTGCCGTTGATCGAAGGAACATGGACGTTTTGCCTCGTGCTCTATATTTATATGACATCATCCTGCTTGTTGGTTGTTAACGTTTTCAATGACAAATGAATGTTTTGGGAATTTCTAGCAATACATATAATATATTAGCTACTTTATTTAAACATATTTCTGATAAATGAGAATGATTTTGCCCCAAGAGCGTACACACTCATCAAGGGGGCTTACTTAATAATACTGTTATTCTGAGATCTCGCGCGTGCACTTTTACTGTAGGCTGCAGTCATTGTCATATACAAAGCAGCCTCCAAATTACTAAAACGTCTTTCAAAGTTCCAAAAAACGAGTAAGTCTAGTAAAGAAATCCATGAAAAATTTCCAAAATCCACGAGAATTCGTATTGTAATAAATACGGATGAACTTTATAATTCCTCTAAATTCCTACATGGCGCCGTTTCATACAATTGCATGTCAAAATAACCATATGCAAACATATTATTCAAATAATAAAAAAGATAGCAAAGTTAAATATTGGTTATTGTTCAACTAAATTTAGAATAGAGTCACAGGTACATAGTAC